CTTTAGTATCAATACCATGTCATATTGCTATTGTATCTGAGTACAGCGTTTGAGTATCAATTCTTCTTTTAGTATATTGATATTTCTGACAACCCTTGTGTGAGCTGCCCATTCCACTTTAAATCAGCCTTGGCACAGAGAATTCTCCAGCGTTTCAGGATGAGGCCCACATAAGTTTATTTTCTTTGCATTGCAGAGCTTTAGCAAGCATGTGCAGATGCTGAACTGTGTTGCCAGAAGATATCTGATGTTGAAGTACAGTTGAAGATAGTTAAGAACTGTAGATAGTTGTAGATAGTTGATTATTCAAAGGCTTATGAATTTTCTTTTAAGGAATATTATTCCGAAGTTCTTACTCTGTTTATAGATGCATTCTTACAAGTGTAAATGAAAAATATATGCACCTGAATGAATTCAGTTAACAAAGAAGATCTGTTAAAATAATCATAATGGCTCTGTATTGATAAAATCCTTGGAAGAATGAGAACAGCGAGAGCAAATGAACCCATATGCTGGTCAGCCTGTTCTGATGAAACTGAGGTGTACTAACTTTGTATTTCACAAGATGTCATAAACGACAAACATACAGAAGACAATGAGATAAGTCAGTCCTTGATATCGGAAAAATTATAAGGAAACGGCTGATTGGCTTGACTGAGGGTTCATATATACATCGCACTTAACATTTTTATGAAGGGTTATCTGATATAGAAAATTCAAAATAACAACATGCGATATCCTGATGTTAGCTAGAAGTTACTTAGTTCTCTAAAAGTGGTGACCTGACCCTCTGTGACATTAAACTAGATAACCGATCAACATTTTTAAACGCACACTAGTAATCTGAAGGACTAAGTAGAAGAAGTATCTCTAAATAACAGCATTAATTGATTTCATGATATTGGCAACGCAAAACTCTTTGAAGCGGGGTTGCAAAAAAAAAAAAATAGATCATAACTTTTCTCCAACATGAAATGAGTTTGAAGTTCAGATGCTTTGTGGATGACTTCTGTATGAGAGACATTTCAACGAGGAAAGCATCTTAACTTAAGAAAAGGAGTTCACCAAATAACCATGTTAATAAAATAGTTTGTATTTGACTGGGATGTGTTTTTTTTTTTCAGTTAATCTTTTACTATATAAATAGGTTAAGGAAATTTGCAAGTCACTGCTTGCTATTTTCATTAACATTTTTTCCATCTTGGTTTACAATAACAGCCCAAACTTGTAATTACATGATTGGCTCACCTCTTATTCCTCATTTGCAGCGCCATGGTGATGAGGGTGGATGAGTGAAGGAGGCGGGCGTTGCAGCAGAAAGTCGGCAGATAAGGAGGCCGGGCAAAGATGTTTGAGGCCGACTCAGACCTAGCTGGTGGGGAGGTCGAGGAGGAGGTGGAAGCAGACATGGGTAGCAGGGACCTGAAGGCTGAGGTGATGCGGCTCACTCTGGAGCTCCAAGAGGCAACGGAGGAAAAGCTGCAGGCGGCTCGGTACGGACTCGTAGTGCTGGAAGAAAGCGCCGCTCTTAAGAGGAAGCACACGCAGCTGGAAGAGGAACACGAATCCCTAAAGTTGGAGCTGCAGCAACTCAGAGAGGTAGAAACACATCGGGCTCACAAACCTATTGGCTGTGTTTTATTATATGAATATAATTACACACATTACATCATTAGTAAAAGGCTTTAATTTATATTGAAAAGTGAATATTTGCAGCAGTGATATAATTTGATTGTTTGTGATAATAGATTCAGAGCGATGTGCTTCCATAAACTTTCCCTCCCAGAATTAAAAAGAAGCAAAGCCAATAACTCTCCAATTATAAATGGTATAGCTTGATATAACTACAACCCCATGGGTTAGTTGGATATCTGTCAGTTTTCCACAATGCAAACTTTAAACATTGCAGCCATTCACATTGCTGTACTATCTCTGTTCATTTGACTTATCACAGCTGAGGATCTGGCTGCAGCAACTCTTAAAGCCGTTTGAAGATTCTTTTTTTTTTTTTGCATTTTTTATATTTGCATCTGCATGGGAGATAAAGTTACATTTACATTCATTTTTGTATCTTTTAATGTAGGAGTTATTCCACTATTAAAAACTTGTTCTGTGAACTTTGCCTTCTGGTTTTGAGGCTTTAAAAGGAGAAGGCTGCTCATCGCCGTCGACTATCAGTTAAACCAACGTACAAGAAGTTTATTTAGGCCATGTAATGACCTACTTGTTTATTAGTGTTGTTTTATTTTGTATTAGTAAATGGACTCATTTTGTATAACCCCATTCACCTCATTCTTAAAGCACTTTACTCTAAAGCCACGTTCAGCCAATCACGCTCACCGGATCAAGGTTTTTTTTTTTTTTTTTTTACTCTAAAGCCACGTTCAGCCAATCACGCTCACCGGATCAAGGTTTTTTTTTTGTTTTTTTTATAATCCTGTTTTGTCCCAAATACAGATTGAAGTTGCTTAATATTTGGCTTTTTTCAATAGCAAGTCTGAAGGTTACTTTATTAAAAGGTATTCAAATGCATTTGAGACCCTTTCCTTGAAAACTCAGGTTTTAAGGTGCCGTTTAATGGTGATTTAAATAAATAAATAAGTCTGTTTTCTTTACTACAAAATAGTTTTGTTCTAACCAGAGTTTCTGCTGGAAAGCTTTAAGATACTGCAGGAACCTTGGTTAGGACAAATCATGTCTTAAACCTAAAACACAGACAGGTTTAGAATGAGCTTTTAAAGATTTACTCGACTTGATGCATCTGGTTGCAGTTTTTACACTTTTTTAAATTGCTTTTTTTTTTTTCATGTTTTGTTTTTGTGCTTAAAATTATGTAAGGTAATCAAATATATCCTTCATTTTTTTAGAAATATATTTCACAGCCACTGATCTAGTGATATGCTGTAATGAAAGTATTTGAACAACTTTAATTTCTTAAATTACTGCACAGGATCTTAAATTATTGCACAGAATACAAAGCTAGTCTCTCTGAGACTTCTGACTTTCCAAGGAATAATTCAGAACTCTTTCCTGACTGGGATTTTGGTTAATCTGCCTTCCATGTGCAGAGAGAACAAAGCGTTTTCCCTTAGAAATGAACAGTTTTGATATAAATTTTTGATGATTTGAAACAGAACATTCCCGTGTGGTATCACTTTGCTGTGTGCAGAAAAAAAAACCCACAAGAAAAATGTTTTCCCGTGCTTCCAGAGTTTATTGCTTTGCTCCGATTGCTGTAAAACCTAAGGAATAGTGAGGGCAGCTCTTTGTGAAGGTCATTGTATGAGAAAGATGTTTGGTTTCATCACATTTACCAGAGAAACCCAATCATTTTTACAGTGCTTGCATGATAAAATACGCAGTGCTTGTTAAAAAGAAGTCGTCTTCCCAAAACACAGCGTCCATCATCCATAACACATTCTGGGTGTGGCTAACAGAAACCCAGATGGTGCGCCATTTCAGAGTGGGAGTTAAGTTTCATCAAAGACTCGGTTCATTTAACAGGACTTCAATCAGCAACGAATCACTGGAAGAAACATTCCTAGTACTGTTTATTTCAGGGTTTTACAATTGTTATAAATACCCTATTGAGTAGAGAAAATAATCTTTTTGTGTAAAGATATTTAAGTCTCTTAGGTTTAAGTATTGTTGACCAACACAGTATATTTTTAACCTTCTCAAAAGAGGCAAAATTATGCAGAATTTAATTTCTATCACAGTGTGCTTAAACCTAATTATTCAGATATTCAACCATGTCGGCTTGTGTAGATTTTTAATAAAGCAGTGTGAGCTCATGTCTTAAATTAGACTTATTTTGTAGCTACAATAAATCCCTCAGCCAAGCATTTTTTCGGTATTTGTTTCCTTAGTCGCCATAAATGCAGTGTTCTGTTTCCTGGTGATTGGAAGCTGTGAATAGACGCATTATGCAACTATCGGATAAGAATTAGGGCTATTATGAGATTCTCCAGGCAGAAAAACATCTAACTAGTTAGGGTTATGGTCTTTATTATTTTTAACAACATTTATAATTAGTCTTGCCTTACTTTAGTTGCTTATCCTACATGCATCCATCAGCTGATTATTTTTCAGGATGTAACACAGATGCTTGTGAGATGCTGCTTGTTTTTTTCCTCCATCTTTAACTCCTTCCATTGGTGTAAAGGCTTTTGCAGATTCTGTGAGCAGCCAGAAGCGTGCAGCTGCTGATGGAGAGTGTCGGGAGGAGAGCCTGCTGCAGGAGACTGCCACTAAAGAGGCTGCCATGGCAACCCGGATGGAGGAAGTTCAGGCAGAGCTAAAACAGACTCGTCTTGCTTTGGGCAACGCCCACGCAGAGATCGATAGACTGGGGGGGCTCTCCACCCAGCTTAAGAAGGTATGATGTCTCCTCACTCAGTAAAAATGTCAATCCTGACAGGCCTGTTTCATTATGAAGCCTCCCGTCATAGGGTTAGGTTTTAATTACTCGATATACCAACTTTCTAGAATAACTTTAAATGAAAACATTTGTTAAAAGTTTTTTCATTGTGTTCTGTAGGAATGTGAATGTCTGGAAGCAGAGAAGAACCATTTAAGAGATGAAATGAAGGAATATAAAGTACGCGAGCTGCGACAGCTGCAGGATAGCAGTGAGCTGGAGGAAGAGAACATCTCCTTACAAAAACAAGTGTCTGTGCTAAAGGAAAATCAGGTCAGCTCTTATTTTAGCATTTCTTCCTTTGCCTCTTATGTTCATGTGAATTGTGTGCATGTTTTTTTGATGTTCTTTACAAGGGAAATTTTTCTGTGTTCTTAAATCTTCCTGAAGGTTTTTTCTGTTTTCACTGTCTTAAAAAGGCTCAGGGAAATTGCAGGTGGCATCTAAAACGTGATCAGGCTTATTTGTACAGACTGTTTTGAAAACCCAGATGTGGGTTTTCTTTAGAGCTGCATGGATCTGATGTGTTTACACAGCTCTGACGGGACCTTCCACAGCGAAGGCTACAGAGTTCTGTTTATGTGTTGCTCACTTGGTTCTGGTCCAGATAAACTTAAGGTCAGTTTGTTATGAATTTGCTTCATCTCACGTGGAGATGTTGCTAGGCTCAGATATGTGTTCTCCTGGGTTAGCCAAACACTTGGCCTACAGTGATCAGAGGCAGGAACTTGTGCTAAAGGGTTTGCTTATTTTCTTTTTGTGGTACTAGTAACTATTGTTTGTGAAGCCAATGGACAGGAAAGGACATTGAGAAAGTAGGAGGATGGGCAGCTTGGTCTCATCTGGCCGGTGGTTAAATCCCAGACGGCTGCAGCTTTGAGTATTGTGTGTAACCAATATTATTGACCCAATACGATATCAACAGGAATACATACTTTTGTTACCTTTTTTGTAGTGTAAAAAGATTTGATCAAGTGATATTCGTTAAACAGAGAAGAAGGTTAACAACAATAGGTAAGAGAACCTCTGACCTGTTCATTAATAACCAATGGGTTACACTAGGGATGGAACGGTTTATGAAAACCGTCCGAACCGTTCGGTTCGACTGTCTCGGTACGGTTCGCGTGTGTTGCGTTCGGTTCATGCGCTGCTCCTTTTTCTCATAGGCGAAGCGTTTACACTCCAGAGCAGAAGGTGGCGGTACTGCGACCAAAGCCAACCACCAGTAGTAAACAAGAAGAAGAATAAGCGAAGCAGCGTAGCCGGGTGTAGCAGAAAAAAATCAGTTGTGGAGAATTGTGTGGGTATGGCGAGTGGGAAAGAGCATCAGTTGGAAGAAGCGCCAGCAGCACTTTATAGGTCTGCTGTATGGGACCACTTTGCATTTAGAGTGACCTACGATGACGGCGGAAAGAAAGTTGTGGATAAAAGTGCAACAGTGTGCAAGCATTGTGCAACATGTGTTGTTTATGCTAACAGCAACATGACCATAATAGATTTTCCTAACAATCAACATGTACCGAACCAAACCAAAAACCATGACCACTAACCGTGAACCGAACAGAACCGTGGATTTTGTGAACCGTTCCACCCCTAGGTTACACAGACTTAAAGGTGTAGTGTGGGATTTTCGTTAATTTTTTTAAAGAGAATGCGAGAATGCCTATTAAATGCATGCTAGATCATGCACGAGCCAATTTCTCCTCGTGCAACCTCTGTTTAAAAGTTGATGTCTAAAACTCATGTTTTGGCTGCTAGTGGAGCGATTTCATAAAATGTGATCAGGACATCCATAATTTTAATATAGAAAAAGAATATAGGGAAACTAAAATGAACACAGTGGGCACAGAGGAAGCAGGATTGGATTCTGTTGTCCAAACACCATCTGTTGAACGCTCTGTTGGGTTGATTTGAATGTTGAAATTTGACCCCCATTAATATTGCATTGATTTAAACGGGCATTCTGCTTGTTCCCACCTTTTTAGGTCGAGTTTGAATCAATAAAGCTTGAGCTATCCCAGAAGAATGAAGAACAAGACGAGCTGCGGGCACAGCTGGAAGAAGCTGCGAGGCTGAGGGAGATTGCTGAGAGGCAGCTGGACGAGGCCCTGGAAGCCCTGAAAGAGGAGCGGGAGCAGAAGAACGGTCTGCGGCGGGAGCTCTCTGCTCTGACCCTGAACCCGTTTGATTCCATTGGGAACTTGGACCTCCATTTGGACCCGCTGGATGACAGTCAGGAGGAGGGCCAGGGAGGAGCAGGAGAGGCTCAGGAGGAGAACCAGGACGGCAGTCACACAAATGGTTCTGCATCCGCTCCCAGCTCCAAAAGCAACGGCCTCAGCCATCGCTACTCCACACCGCGCAACAGCGACGTATTCTTGCGTGCTCCAGCGTCGGGCTTGGTGTCCGACCTGCTGAGTGAGCTGCACTTTTCAGACAGTCAGAAACTGAAGCAGCAGCTCCTACAGGTAGGCAACAGGCTCCTTAGAAACAACTTAATTATGTATTGCAGGAAAAAAAAAGAAATAAAATATTGTTTTTTAATGGGATCTACTCTCACTTCCATTGAAATTAACTGCTGCCTCTTGATCTTTGAAGGTCATTAGGTTTCCGTAAATTTAGCTGAATTGAACCAAAGAAGAAGAGTTGTGTAAATGACTCTTTGCCGGTTACCACATAATCTTGATTGCAGAATCAGTTCTTAACCTGAGGGGGGAATTGCTGTTCCACTTTTCTTTTATTAGTACATACATTTTATGTGTCCCAAATATGACAAACCTTTTTTATATTTGGTCTAAATATTCGCATCCCTGCTTATATAAGTCATCAATCTCACAAATTGTAAGTATCTTTGCATTGAAACTGTAGATTTCAGATGAAAAACCTTTATTTTCTCTGTATGTTCAGCCTCATTTGAGAACAATCATTATTGTCTCAGGTGTGGAAGTTTCAGCACAGTTTAGTCCGTTTGACTGAGCTGTTAGCTTCCTGTTTGGGACCACATCCGTTCTGGTTGAATAAAATACAGCTGGTTCACAAAGAAATGAAGTCCCCTCATAATTACTATCAACACAGATTTATTCTAAGGCTGTAAAGAGAATTGAGAACCTATTGAGTTTCTCTTTGTTTGGACAAAGTACATTATTAATGACGCACTTAAGTTGGGGGGGTTGGGTTTTAGGCTCCTGTCTAACAGATGTTTGGATTCTGGAGCTGAATGTGGTTCCATTAAAAATGCATCAAGAGGAGGAGAGAGTGAGGAAAGGGGCATCAGTGTCAAAGACTCAAAAAAAATGTTACTTTCAATCTCATGAGATTCATTAAGTCGGTTTACTGAAATTAAAGAGTAGATTTACATGTTGTTGTTTTTTTTTTTTTGTATGGAATTTCAGGCAGAAAGGGAGAAATCAAGTCTTGCTAGCAAATTGGAGGAGCTGCAAATGCAACTGATGATGTCCAAACAGGCACTAAGTCAGCAGGAGGACAAGGTTGGCTCTCTCACTAAGCAGCTGGAGGCGGTGCAGCATCAAAACCAGGAGGCTGAGGAGACACAGAAGGTGGAGACAGGAGAGGAGGCTTCTGAGGGCTTCGACTACGAGGTGGACACCAAGAGCAAAGAGGTGCTGGAGGCACGAATGCGCGCCGCCAGTGAAGAGCTCCTGAAGCTACGAGACGAAATTTCACAGGCGGGAACTCGTTACAACACCCTTGAGCAGAGGTACAAGCAGGAGAAGGAGCGGTGGAGGGGCGAGGCCCAGGAGCTGGCCGACAAGATCCGTCAGTGCATCAAGTCCAGCAAGCAGGACCAGGAGCGCATCAGTGAGCTGGAGAAGGAGATCGGAGCCACACGGAAGGTGGCGACCGATTCTGAGGGACACCTGAGCGTGGCACAGGAAGAGCTGCTGGCTTTCTCTGAGGAGCTTTCCAACCTCTACCATCACATCTGTGTGTGCAACAACATAACACCCAAACGGGTCACCCTGGACTACTACCGGGACAGCGCCAGGGGAGGCGGAGGAGGGTTACGAAGGTCCCACCATGTCTTCGCCCAGCACAACTCCCAGAAGAAGCCTCGGGCTAACGACATGTTCATCTCCAAAGCTGCAGCACTGCAGTTCATGGGGGAGGTGGACAGCGCTGGAGCCAGCGGAGACTCTCTGACCTGTCCCGCTTCGCCCACTCTGGACTTCAGGGACCCCTCCAATGTGTCCAACCTGGTTGCTGTCATCCGTTGCCAGATCAAGCACCTCAGGGTAAGGTAACTGTGTGTGTGAGACCTGCAGCACTGCACCCATTACAAACCAGAACATATAATGGAATAACGGCTCTTTACCTGAGCCTGACGTTGCATTCAGCACGCTAACGTTCTTGAGTGCCTCTCCTGTCTGCATAAATCCAGCGCCTGTTCAGGGCGGCGTTGACACGTGCCTGCATGTGCTGGTTTGAATGGATGGGATTATCAGAGGTCAAAGTTGATTCATGGTCTTAGGAACACATAATCCTTTGAGCAAACATTGTCTCAAACACTTGAAAACTTTGATTTACTTTTTTTTTTTTCTCAGCAGTGAAATGAAAACTGAAAATAATAAAATAGAGATAAATATTAACAGCCTCTAAGAAAATAAGAAATTTGAAATAAGTTAAACATTGAAATTACACACTAAACATGTTTAATTTAATTAATTTATTTTTTTACTGTTGTAATAGTGTAACAAACTTTTCCCAGGAAGAAATCCATTTTAAATGGTTTTACTGTGTGCTCTCTCAGGTGGCTGTGGACCTCTGCCGTCAGAGAGGAGCGATGCCCTACTCTGGTCTCAGCAGCAGCGACGAGTCTGAGCGGGACACTGAAAGTCTTTTGGAGGAAGTTCTGAAGCTCAAATCTCTTCTTAGCACAAAGAGAGAGCAGATTGCAACTCTGCGGACTGTCCTCAAGGCAAACAAGCAGGTGAGCTAAGCTACATTTCCCCTGATGTTAGACCTAGACTGGACGATGTTTCTCATCTCTTTGGCTCTTTTAGAAATCCTTCCTCCATGGTATCCAAATGGTCTGATGGGGATCCTGGTAAAAGTCAGCGTTACCCAGTCACAGCTCCAGTTTTTTCTGTCTGGGCTGCTGTGCTCGTTATAGCTAACTTCTTGTGTTTTGTTTAAATTGAAATGCATTCTTATTTTGTCGGTTTCAGCTGTATCCAGCACTCTCTGAAAGTTTGATATATTCTTCCTTAGATTATCCAGGATTGGTTTGTTGTCAACCTTTTATTGTTTCTCCTTAGATTAAAAAAAGATACTGTATTTATCTTGTTGCATCTTTTGGTACAATCAAGATTTTGGGTCTGTTTGCTGTAAAAGAAAAAGCTTGAGACTCACTCTATACAAATACCACCAGTATAATCGTTTTTTTTTTTCTGATTATAGTAGTTATCGGTAACTTCGCTACATACAAGCTTGTACCGTTTGGTTAAATGGTTCAGGTTAATACTTAAATATTTGAACACATTGAGGGGAAGATAAAAATGACGTCACTTTTACACACCAGCCTTATAAACATACACATAGCAAACACCCAAAAAATAAATCCTTTTGAGAAGTAATCAGAGTACTGAAGGATAAATACATTGAGAATAAGAATATGCTTGCACAGTACAGCACATGAAAATCTGCAAAGTGCCTCTGCATCTTTTTCTGTTGAACAGCTGCAGGAACAAAGCTGTTATGAAGCTTTATTCTGGCTCTAATCACGGAAGAAGCTGAAGCTCGATACAAAAAAGGATGAGAACCATTTTAAATGATCTCCAATTAATTTAATGACAGAATGTTCCTTAAATATCTGAGATTAGGGCCTAGCAGATATTTGGATTAGCAATATAATCACAATTTTAGTTTTCATATGACAAATGTAAGGAACCGACCTTTTCACTCTCTCTTCCAGAAGGGAAGAGAGAGCTTCAGCTCGCACACAGATCTATACATGGAGGGAAAAACGTTTCCACACAACAGTAATATTCTGCTACAAAGGAATCTGGACAAACAAGCTCCCAAGGTCACGGAAAGGAGGAAAGCCTTGAGGGAAATATCTATATGCTGGTGATTAGTACAAAGGAAAGTGAAAACAAAATCTCAGTTAACATTTTTTGGGTAAATCATTCAGCCCTCTTTGACATGACAGCATGACAGAGTAGCTGCGGAGTTGTTGGATGCACGGCCAATGCAGTGAATCTCTGCTTCCACCACATGCTAAATGTGCTGTGAGACTGAGATCTGCGGAAGACCGATGCGGTTGTCTGTTCTCAACCAGTTTTAAAAGATTTGAGCTTTGTGACATGGGGGGCATAGCCCTCAGTAGATGAGTACCAGATGGTTTTAACAATGCTCAGGTCAAAGCTGGGGTTTTTAGAACTCCATCGCTCTACTTACTCAGGGACCCAAATTGTAAATAGACTGTATCTTTCATATCATTACATAACTACTTTAACCACCAGTAATTAGCTAAGTTTCCCTTTCTTCGCTGACAGGAGATGCTTTAGCCCAGCTTCACTATAGAGTGGTTACTATGGAGACTGTTATGTTTCTACCATCCAAACCATTTTGACCATTCTCATCTATACTCAACAAGGCGCGTTAGTCTCAAAAAACTGCTGCCCACTGGATAGCTAGTCTTATTCAGACTGTGTAGGAATCCCAGTAGATCAGCTGTTTCTGAGACGCTCAGACCAGCCTGCCTTGCACCAACACACATTCCACATTCAGCCATTTAAATTCTCTTTCCTCCTCATTCTGACTGGGTTGAACTCCACTACCATGTCTACATGCATCCAGTTCCTCTCTAGTTTTCTTATTACTTATAACAGTTGAACAGATGTACCTAATAAAAATAACCAGTTGGTGTATATAGCTGACCAGACCGTCCCTTTTCTGCTGCTCTCCTCCACTCGTACATCTCATCTGACCTACTTCTGTCGTGTCTGGAGTTCTCCCCCTCCGCTGCCCTCCCATGACTCTCCAGATGATCCTTTAAACAATCTAAAGCTGACATTATGGAGATTACTTCTTTGAAATATTTAATATAAACACGTTTATTTTTACATTCTACATTTAAACGCATGATTTCAATAAGAAACATTTAAAGGGATAATATTATCGGGCTCTATCTCTTATCTGTAATAAACTGGAGAAAGGAGAAAACTGCTTTAAATCTGTTTTGCCGTCCTGATCAATGCACTATGCTGACACAGATTCCTGTTTAGCTTAGGAGCATCAAGGCCTTTATAGTCCTGTCTGTTTGCATAAGAGCCGCTTCCTGTTATTCTGCTACCAACAGAAAGCATTAATGTTCCGTATAAAGAACAGAAAGAAGAAGCTGCTTGGTTTTCCTGATGTTGTGATCTGTCCAAACAACCTTTTATTTCCTATCCTTTTAGTTTTTGGTAACTTGTAGTTCTTTTGAAGTGTTGACTGTTTCATTAAAATGCCAACAAAAGTAAAAATCCCTGGTGCATCTTAGCTCTATCATTTTAAAAAATGTCTCCAAATGAAGCATTAACAAGCAATGATTATCGTTTTTAAAAGTACAAACGTAAAGTTAGTTTGTTTTTCTTTTTGCAGACCGCTGAGTTGGCCTTGTCTAACCTGAAAACCAAGTATGAGACGGAAAAAAGCATGGTGTCGGAGACCATGATGAAACTGAGGAATGAGCTAAAAGCCCTGAAAGAGGATGCTGCCACCTTTTCTTCTCTCAGAGTCATGTTTGCCAGTCGGTAAGATTATATGATATAACAATATAAAGTAGTTTAAATAGTTATTTTCTATCACTTTATGCTTCTTGGAGGCACTGATGATTGGGAACCATTTACTGTTGCTCATATATAATGAGCTTACGGTGCTTATTTTGTCTGCGCAGACTCTTCACGTGAAGATTATACAGCACATGTTCTACCTTGTGCTGCTGGGGGGGGCGGTTTCGTCTGATCGACATAGGTCATGTTAAGAGTGAAAAGGTCTGATAAGTTTGCATGACACAAAGAGTTGAAAAAAGCCATAGAACACAGAAAATTCCTTAGTTGATTTGCTATCAGCAATTCTGGATTTCCATTTGACTAGTAATAGCAAAATGTTTTGAAATTTAATTTACCAGCAATTAAAGACTATCCTGGCCAGGTGTCAGACTCTCTGAGGAGTCTGCAGACATTAATGAGCTGCCGTTTAGCCTTAAGAAGGATTGAAGTACAGACAGTGATCAAGGACAGCTGAGGTCTGATCCAGGAGAAGATTTACTGCTTTAGAGAAAGGTTATGGTTCATGCTTACGGTAGTTTAGAGGCGCCACCTTGTGGTGACTTCTGCACATGGAGGATTTACCTCCAGTTCACCCACATTAACCATTTGAGGACACTTCAGTTTGGGTGCCTTTTATGCATTTGTTCTGTTTTAAAGATTTTCACAAACATAAGTAGGATTTTAAGTTTTCCAGATTTCCCTTTATGGATGATCTTCATTCACGTCAGTTCTCATTAGGCGTAATATTAAGAAACTCCTGTTGGCAATTAACAGCATATGTTTCCCTTTCTTTTATTTCAAACTAAATCAATGTTTGTGCCTTTGTTTTTTTTGTGCAAAGATATAAAAGAAAAAGTTTTGTTTATCTTTTTTCTATACATAAATGTTCCCAATGGTATATTTACAGTGCATGGGAACATATCATCTGCAAAGAAAAGAAAACATGAAAATAGTATAATGATATTTAATTGTGCAAAGTAAAGAAGGGACTCAGTTTAGTCAACTGAGGGTGTGATGCTCAAATTGCTGTGTTAATAACTGGTATATTTACTGGTAATTATTTCCAAAAATGGACCTCCTTTGTGGTGTTGGTTGTTGTTGCTTCTAACACACTGACTTGTGTGCCTTGCAATGAGCTCAGCTCTGCTCCTGCATGCTGCATGTTGATCCTGTCCACATCTTTCAGGTGTGATCAGTACGTCACCCAGCTGGACGAGATGCAGAGGCAGCTTGCAGCTGCCGAGGATGAGAAGAAGACTCTGAATTCTCTCCTGCGTATGGCCATCCAGCAGAAGTTGGCTCTCACTCAGCGTTTGGAGGACCTTGAGACTCCTCAGGCTCCCCGGAGCTTGAACAGCAGCCCCCGGCGGTCCCGGGCTAAAGAGCTGGCCACCAAGTCAGGTCGTGCCTCCCGGAGCCCCCGAAGCAGTCCCGGCAGGCCCCAGCTGAGGAGCAGTCCACGGGCCAGCCCCGTCCTTGGCAGCAGCGTTCCTGCCTCGGCCACCCACCACTTGCGAGCTCTAACCCGAAGTCTCCACACAAGCCCTGTAAGAACCTCCTCTTCTCTTTCTTCCGACAACAGCATTCATACAAGCAGCCGGTCCCACGGTGGCAGGGGTCTCCCAAGAGATGCCACCTTCATTAGAAGTCGTAGTATCAGTGATGTTTTTAATACAGAGGTGAGTCACGGACGTTCTCTGCCACGTAGAGACTCCGCCAGTTCTTTAAGTAGCGACTTAACAGTCAGTTCAAATGTCTCTGATAGAAGAGGGGCTGCATCAGGCCGGAGAGCTTCGGTCCCTGTGCGCCAGGACACGTTCATCAAAACTAATATTGGCCCTTCCTCTTCCAGCAGCAGGCGGAAGTCTGCTTTTTCTTTACATGTTGATGATCTAACCTCCTCTAAAGCTTGGCGTGTGTATCCTAACACATCTAAAGCATGGGGTGAAAGCCAACAAAACTCTAATCCAAAAACTCACCTAGATGTCTCGGTAAGGAAAAAGCAGTTGCCCAGTAGGTCTAAATCTGTGCAAGGAGTTGCTGCTGCTGGCTGCAGCTACTCATTGCTGGCAGACTCGGTCCGTTCACAGTCAAACTCCAAATATTCAGCGCCCCAAACAGTCAAGTCTCTGTCTTTTCCCAACCCGCCTGGTAATGCCAGGATGACAGGAGTCTGCAGAGAGTCTAGAGGCAGATCTTCCACCTCCATAAATAGAACTGCAGAGGAATCGCTCAGTGCCGCCAATAAGAACTCTGGTACCAAAAGTCAGGCTGCATCTTCCAGGGCCCGGAGCTCTCATTCAAAATCCTCTCACAATAAAAAGTAGGAAGTATCATATGTCAAAGATAATATTTAAGCTGTTTCATATTTTTTTGGGGGGGGGTTCTTTTTTTGCTTAGATTTTTTAGAGGTGAAGATTACTGATTTTAAGGATTGAGTTCAACTTTACTGCCGTTTGTTGCATGGCTGCTTTTACATTGACTTGTAAAACCACATGTTACAACCACAATGCCATGTTACAACCACAAACTTTATTGCATTTGTGCATTTTATTGGGATTGTATGGAAGAGCGACACGATGCAGTCAAAATGGTGTGCAGTTTTCACTGAAAGGAGCTGTGAGACGCTCAACGCTTGAGATACTATTTTGTAACTGAAACTTCTCCAAAGCTTTATTCCTGACCTGTCATTTGGTCACACATACAGTATAGAGATAGATAGATAGATAGATAGATAGATAGATAGATAGATAGATAGATAGATAGATAGATAGATAGATAGATAGATAGATA